ATATATATATATATATATATATATATATATATATAAAACATTAAACAATATTAAATGATAAACAACTAAAAAAATTTATTTTTTTTTTGTTAAAGTTTATGAATAAAACATATATTGATATTTATATACTTAAAAAAAGTATATGAAAATAAAATGTTTAAAATTAAAATTAAAATTAAAATTAAAATGTTTAAAATAAAATAAAATTGACGTACAATAAAAAAATTCTATAAAAAATTTATTATAAATACTTATAAATAATTATAAATTATTATAGTTGTTAAATTAAAAGAATATACACACATAATATATAGGTATGTATAAAATAATAGATAAATAGGAATAATTCAAATAATTATATTTTTTAGTAATATTTTTTTATTTATATTACTTATTGTATTATTTTATATTTTTTTTATAATTTAATAATTACATATGATGTATAAAAATTATTTGTATAAATATTATTATATATTAAATGCATATATACAGGCTGAAAATATAAAATTACTTTTTTATATAAACATAAAATCCTTAATCCTATATCTATTGTTACAAGCATTATTTTAAAATATATTTTAAAATTTATTTTATATATTCTTAATAAAAAGAAATATAATAAGATATCTATGATAAAATAATAAAAATTATTAATATATATTTTTGAAATTAATAATATTTGTTTCATCTTTTTATAATAATAATAATAAATTTATTCAATTACAAGTTCATGCTGATCTATTTCGTGAAAAGTTCTATTGATGTCCTGAACCCATTTCTGTAATCTCTTTTCTTGTTCCATTTTCAATTTATTAGTTTTCTTTCGTTTTATTTCATGTTCAATTGATTCCATTTCCTCTTCTTCACTTTCTTCTTCAGAAAAACTATATTTTACATTACGTTTGCGTTTATATGAATGTCGTGGAGGCTAAAATATATACACACATATATATATTAGATTATTGTTAGTAATTTAAAAAAATTTATTTTATTAATAATAACTAAAAATAATATACTTGTGTAAAATGAGATGGTTCAAAATCAGTAAATAATGGAATATTAGATGAAGACACTACAGATGTTCCACCTGTTTCAGATAGAATATCAAATGTATCAGAAAAATTCAAAATATCAATTTGTTTCTTTTTTTCTTTAATAGGTAATTTTTTTATTTCTTTATTTTTAATTAATATATTTTCTTTATTACATATATCTTTCTCTTCTTTTAAATTTTTAATAAGCAATTTATTTTTTATCTCATCAATTGATAATCTTGCAGTAAGTTTTATGTCATGTATAATTACATTTGATTGAACAAATTTTTCTTGTTTGTTACTTTCAATTTTATGTTTAATAGAAGATATCTCTTGATCAGACTCACTATCACTAAAACCAAATGTGTTATTTAATTTTATATTAGATTCATTAACTTTTTTCATTGATTTATTGATTATTGATATTGATTGTGTATCATCAAAAATTCCATGTGGTGTTTTAATTGTTGTGCATTGTGGTAGTTCCATTATATTAAGAAAATTATTTAAATTTGATTGTTTCAGAATTCTTTTCTCATTAAAAATTGAATTACTTTGTAAACCTGATGGTCCAGGTTGAGAAATAAAATTTTCTTTTTGTTCGTTAGCTTTTACATTTAATATATTTTCTTGAATTTGTGTGCTAATTATTTCTTTTTTAAGATTTTTTTTTGGACTTAATATACTATTCTTTTTAATTTCCTTATTATCAAAATTAAATGCATTATTTACATTAGAAGTAATTACACTGATTGATTGTATATTTGATTGAATGTTTTCAGTTTCAATTGGTATATGTTCATTTATTTGTTCTATTGAAGATTTAAATTGTAAGGAGTGATCAATATTTGTAATTTCTGTACCAAATTTTCTTGAAGTTAAAAGATTTTTCTTTTTGGGAGTATTAATATTTATATATTCTTCTGTACTTATATTTTCATTATTTTTTTGTAAAGTGTTTTTTGTTTTTGTTACATTTGCAAATTGTTTAGATTCATTTAATGTTCGCACAAGTTTTTTATTAATAATATCATAATTATTATTTTTAGGTGTGCTTTGAAATACATTTTTTACTTGAGAAAATGTAAGTAATGATGCTCTCCAAGGACTGCAGAGCATCTGAGAATTTTCTAATGATTTCCTAATTGGTGATAAAGACTTTTCAAGTAAAGAATAATTAAGTGTATTATTTTGTTGTATTTGTTTATTATTAAAAATATTCGTTGGCCTAAATGGTTTAAAATCATTTGAATTTGATATTTGTGAAGTATCTATTATTGAAATTCTTTTATCACTTAAATCTTTTACTGATATAATTGTAGGTTTTGTAGCTATTTCATCAATAATATGTTCTTTGATTATATTTTCTGAATTCTTCAATTGTTTATTTATTTCTATATTTGATTTAAGATTTTTTACTAAATTTTCTTTTAAAATATCATTTCTAATATTCAAATGTTCCATAGAATCTTTTTTTTTTGTTTCAAATTCTACAAAATCTGAATTTTTTATTTCTTCACATTTTTTAATAATTGATTTTTTTTTAGCAATTTGTTTCACAGGAATATTTTTCTTTTTTCTGTTTGTAACTTTTCTTTTAGTAACTATTTTTCTTTTTTGTTTCTTTGGTAATCTTTCATTTGAATCATTAATATCAAACTTAAATTCATATATTTCACTAATATTTTCTTTTTGCTTTTCTGGTGAAACATGTTTATAAATTGGTAATTTCTTTTTATTAATAGATAATTTCTTTGTTGATATACTATTCATGGAATTCTTAGAATTTTTAGAAGATCTTAAAAAATGTATTTTAGATTGGTTCAGAAATGATTCTTTTAAAGACATTTGCTTTGTAATATTTTTTTTTACTCCTGTAATAAGTTTTCTTTTTTTATTTTTTGATTCCTGTTTATTCATATTGGAATTATTACGTGTAACAATATTTTCTGATTTCATTGTATCATTAATATTTTCCTTGGATAACTTTTTATTTTTTGTAATTTTATGTTTTTCTTTTTGTGTGATTTCTTTAGTTTGTGAAATAGATGTTTTGGCTTTTCTATTTTTTGTCTTTTTGGCTTCAGTTATGGACCTTGTATTCATTATTTCAGTAGGATTTTTCATTTTTGATGTTTTAATAATAATATTCTTAGTTTTCGATGTTATTTTTGACATGATATTTTTTTTTTAATTGTATCTTTTGGAAACTTTGCATAGATGAAATATGTTTTTTTATTAAATAAGGAATCATTTGTAGGTAAATAACATAAATCTGAAACAAATTAATTTTTTTAAATGAAATGTTAAGGATTAATAATAAATGATAAAAATTAATAATATATACTTTTTATAATGGTTATTGATTATTGAATTAATATTAATTAAAGATAAAAATTTCTAGTATTAAAAATTAATATTTATAAAATTTATAGATTATAGATTATATATAAATTATTGTAATATAAATTATATATAATATGTAAATTTATATTTATATAAAAACAAATAAAAATATAGTAAATAAATTATAATATTTATAATTATAATTATAATATAAAATATATATAATATAATATAATATATATAATATAATATATTAATAAATTATAATAATAATTAGAATAAATAAAAGATAAAACAAAAATAAAAATGTTAAAAATGTTTATTTATATTTTAAATAAAATTGATGAATTTTTAGATGAAATTTAAAATATGTCAACATATGTGATGAAATTAAGATTTTATTTAAGATTAAAATTAATTCTTATATTTCGTTTTAATTTATCTTATTTCTATAAATATCCAAACATTGATAAAAATTTGAATATTTTATTTATAAAAATAAATTTAATTATAATAATATAAAAAATTTAATTATAGTAATTTTTATTAACATTATAATTAATTTTCCATTCATTCTAAAATCATTAATATTATAAAATTAATTTTTAAAAATTTTATATAATTTACCTTAACTAAAAAATAAAAAATTCATTGAAATAACATTTCAGTTTACCGTTAACATTTTAAATTTACAAAAAATTTTTTTTTAAAAAATAATAATTTACTATAGTGAACAGTTTATTAGAAAGAAAGTTTAAAACAACGTAATACGTCAGTTTACGTAATACATCAGTTTCTTTTTGTTTAGATAAATTGAAAATAATTATAAGAATAAAAAGTATTTATTATAAATATTGTTTTAAACAGTGTTCCAATGAGACATAAAAAAATAAGAGATGAAACAAACACTTCAATTATATAGTTTATATACGATTAAAAACTGTACATATAGTAGATTGGAAAATTCTCGATAGAATCTATGTATTACTGATACTAAGATGGCACTCTTATAAAGGCAGATTACATAAAAGCAAAGAAGGAATCCAGTTACTCGTATCTGATTCGCTTGTTATAATATTACTATATAATTGATTTGAATGTAAAATTTTCAGGCAATAACTATTTTTTTCCATTGGATTTATTAAAAATAACTAATTGAATTTGTATTTTTTCCGAATATTTTTTTTATATTTTTCTACTTATAAATAATTCTTACGACAATAGTCGTAAGAATAATTTAATAATCGAATAATTTAATAATTTTATAATAATACTAATTCACTATATATTATCTAAATTTAATATAAATATTATTTAATTTTTATTTTGTTTATTTTAATTTTTATTTTGTATTCTATACATATTTTAATATATAAACTATATGTAACTATAAACAAATATAACTAAATCATTGTATCTCTATTTTCTTATTTTATGTTATAATATTCGAAGAATATTGATAAAGTATTTCCCGCCAATATTTTTTATATAATATTGAATGTTTATATTTTACTAAAATCAATAAAAAATTAACTCAAAATGGAAGGATTTGATGATCCAGGAATATTTTTTTCTGATAACTTTTCAGTAAATGAATCTAATGATACTCAAACAAATCTTCAATTTTCAAAAAAAAAGTTTATGGAATTTATTAGACAATTTCATGAAGGAAATTTCAATTATAAATATAGGTATTTAAATAAGTTATAATTTTCTAATACATAAATATTTAATTAAAAATTATATTTTAAACAATATATTTCAAAATAATATTTAATATAATATTAAAATAATATACATAATATAATATTCAATATATTTTATTAATAATATAATCTTTCAGAGATATCTTAAAACGTAATTATAATTTGAGTCAATATTGGATAGAAATTAATTTAGAAGATTTAGCAGCTTTTGATGAATCACTGGCAGAAAAAGTACATAAGCATCCAACTGAATATTTACCTATTTTAGAAGAGGCTGCTAAAGATTTAGCAGATGAACTTACAGCTCCAAGGCCAGAAGGCGAAGAAAAAGTTGAAGACATACAAGTTTTATTATCTTCAGATGCACATCCAAGTTCCTTAAGAGGAATCAAAGTAAGACTTAATTTGAAATTATTTACTTTACTTAAAAAAAAAAAAATTTTATATAGAAAATTAAAACTTATATAATTTATTGTTCTTAATGTTTATTTCATATTAGTTTATAATCATATTATTTTTTTAGCCTGATGCAGTTTCTAAACTTATTAAAATACCTGGTATTATCATTTCGGCATCTGGAATTAGAGCAAAAGCAACAAAAATTGCTATACAATGTCGTTCTTGTAGAAGTATGCAAAGTAATATTTCAATTAAACCTGGTTTAGAAGGATATGTTTTACCTAGAAAATGTACAACAGAACAAGCAGGACGACCAAAATGTCCACTGGATCCATTTTTTATAATGCCAGATAAATGTCACTGTGTTGATTTTCAAGTTCTCAAATTACAAGAATTACCAGATCAAATTCCACAAGGTGAAATGCCAAGACATTTACAATTGTATTGTGATCGTTATTTATGCGATAGAGTTGTACCAGGCAATAGAGTTCTTATTTTGGGCATATATTCAATTAAAAAAGTTACTAAAACTACTGGTAATAGAGGAGGAAAAGATAAAGCATTAATTGGTGTTCGAGCGCCATATATAAGAGTAATTGGTATTTCTATAGATGGAGAAAATACAGGCAATGGTAAAATTACATATATAATTATATATATATAAATTTTTTATTTTATTTTTATGATTTTTAGGTTCTCATTCTTGTGTTACAAATGAAGAAGAAGATTTATTTAGACGTTTTGCATCAGATTCTAATTTATATGAAAGAATTGCAAAAAGTATAGCTCCTAGTATTTTTGGTGCATTAGACATAAAAAAAGCTATAGCTTGTTTATTATTTGGTGGTTCTAGAAAAAAAATGCCTGATGGTCTTTGTAGAAGAGGAGATATTAATATTTTAATGTTAGGTGATCCTGGTACAGCTAAATCACAATTATTAAAATTTGTAGAAAGAATTGCACCAGTTGCAATTTATACATCTGGGAAAGGAAGTTCAGCTGCAGGTTTAACAGCATCAGTATTAAGAGATCCCATAACAGTAAGTTATTAATAATTTCCATAAGTAATATATTTCATATTTCATTTTTATTAAAATATTTCATTTAACTTTTAGAGAAATTTTGTTATGGAAGGAGGTGCTATGGTTCTTGCAGATGGTGGTGTTGTCTGTATAGATGAATTTGATAAAATGAAAGAGGATGATAGAGTTGCAATACATGAAGCTATGGAACAACAAACAATATCTATTGCAAAAGCAGGAATAACTACAACATTAAATACTCGTTGTTCTGTTTTAGCAGCAGCAAATTCAATATTTGGACGTTGGGATGATATAAAAGGAGAAGAAAATATTGATTTTATGCCAACAATTTTATCACGTTTTGATATGATATTTATTGTTAAAGATGAACACGAATTAAATAAAGATGTAACATTAGCAAAACATGTAATGAATATTCATTGCAATGCTACACAAGTTACAGAACAATCTGCCGAAGGAGAATTACCATTGCATATTTTAAAAAAATACATTCATTATTGTAGAACGTAAGGTTATTCATTATTTCAAAATATTTAATTTATTTTTTATTAATTTATATAATTTTTACAGTCAATGTGGTCCAAGACTAAGTAAAGAGGCAGGAGAGAAATTAAAAAATCGTTATGTTGTAATGCGAGCAAATACTAGAGAACATGAAAAAGACACAGAAAAAAGATTATCCATTCCTATAACAGTTCGTCAGTTAGAAGCTATTATAAGAATTTCGGAATCTTTAGCTAAAATGCAATTGCAATCTTTTGCTACAGAAATTCACGTGAATGAAGCACTTAGGCTTTTCCAAGTATCTACTTTAGATGCTGCAATGTCTGGATCATTAGCTGGTAATCTAGAATGAAATCAATAATATGTTTTGTTTTTTATTATACTATTTTTTAAAAATTTAGGTGCAGAAGGATTTACCTCGGATGAAGATCACGAAATGTTATCACGTATTGAAAAACAATTGAAACGTAGATTTCCTATTGGGAATCAAGTATCAGAGCAAAATATTGTTAAAGATTTTGTAAAACAAGCATATCCAGAACGTGCTATTTACAAAGTTATACATACAATGATACGACGTGGGGAACTTCAACACCGTATGCAACGTAAAATGCTATATAGATTACATTGAAATGTAATGACATTTTATATTTGCATTTTAATGATATATTTATTATTTATTATATATAGTTTCCATATTTTGTCCATATTTCATTCATTTCAATATATAAATATGTATATATTTAAACTACATATTAATAATCTTTTTTTTTTTAATTAGAATTGTAATTCATCCTTAAATGGATAATGTGGATGATTCTCAACCCTAAAGCAAATCAGATAAAAGAATTTTATATTTTTATATTCTTTGGAATGAAGTATTTTTAATAAATATATTTACCCCTTAAAAAACAAAAAATTAAAAATTCTTCCACGTGGACCTTTGTCTAAAGTACTTAAAAGTTTTGTTTCTTCTTCTTTTAATGAAAAATTAAATAAGTCAATATTTGTTTTCACTCTTTCTAAAGATGAACTTTTTGGTATTACAACAACACCTATTTGTAATAAGTAACGTAATAAAATTTGTGCTGGTGATTTTTTATATTCTGTGCTTATTTTTTGTACTGTTGGATGTCCTAGAAGATCTGGGAAATTTTCAATATTATGTTTATATTTTGTTTGAAGATGAATTTTAGCTCCAGGTGATGCCAAAGGACTATAGGCTGTTATAATGATATTGTGCATTTGACACAATTGTCGAAGTGAATTTTGTTGTAGATATGCATGTAATTCTATCTAATAATAATTAAAATATAGATTTATTTATATATATATTTCTTATTATAAAAACATTAAAAAGAAGTATAATAATTTATTTTCATTTCAAACTTACTTGTAAGTTACTTGGTTTAATTTGTGCATTCTCCCATATATCTAACACCTGTTTTTCATTAAAATTACTTAAACCTATAGATTTTGTACGACCTTTTCTTACTTGTTCTTCCATTTCCTAAAACAATTTAAAAAATAATGAATTATAAATTATTAACATTTATTATTAAAATTTATTAATAATAATATTAAACCTTCCACACTGAAACAGGATTTGTATCAAGATCTAACACATAAGTTCCATCTTCATGAACTGCTGGACTATAAGCATTTTCATCTAACTTAAAAGCAAAAGGCATATGGATTAAGTACATATCTAAATAATCTAGTCCAAGTTTTTTCAGTGATAAATTAATAAATTTTTCTACATCTGATGGTCGATTTCCATAATGGGGTAACTAAAAAATAAATAATTTTTTATTTTTAAGTATATAAATTGTTTTCTGTGTACATATATTACCTTTGAAGTGATGAAAAGATCTTCACGTTTTCCACCTTTTTCAAACCATTTTTTTAACACTTCTCCAATTGCTTCTTCATTATTATAATTAAATGCAGTATCAATATGTCTATAGCCAATTTCTAGAGCAAATGTCACAACATTTTCAATATCTTCAGCTTTAGCCTATGAAATATTCAATATTACACAAATGTAAAATATAAATTAATTTACACATAAAAATAATTAAATTTAAAATAATAATTTTAGCTTCAATGTAATAATTAAATCACCTGCCATGTACCTAAACCCACAATGGGCATATCATATCCTGACAATAATTGTACTGTTTGCATATTTTCTTTTTTCAATTGATCTGCTGTAAAAAATATTTGTAAAAATTAATTTAAATAATTTATAATATTTTATTATTATAAATTATATATTCCTATCATCAAATTATTGCAACAATTTTAGATTATTATAAAATATTATAATATATATATTAGTATTATTTTATATATATAAAAATTAACTACTTTATAGAAGTGCTATTTGGATACAAAATCAATTTCTAAAGTTAGATCAGACTTGTACTGTTCTGAATACATAAGTTCAAGTTTATAGAGAAAGAGTTACATATATGTATGTTCTACAGTCATTTATTGATCTGTGGTAAATTTTGCGATTGTTAACAGAGATTATGTTGAATATTGTAAAATATCTTTATTCATATCATAACATAGAAAGAAATAGAAATTTTGTTGTATTTCAGACTAAAATATCTTAAAATATTCATATTGTAAATTTTCAAATTAGTCGGTTACGAAATATAATATATTTAAGTTTACATTTGTACTTAAAATTAAGTAAAACTATTAAATAAGAAAATTTAAATAAATTAAATATAATACTTACATGATGATTGTACCAAAAATCGCTGTTGAGTTGTTATGAAAAAACAATTGACAAATTGATACATTATACATTGGCTAGTTAATGTATTAAATAAATAATTACGATATCTAAGCATGTTTTTTGGACATATAATAAACACGTAAAAATTTATAACTTATATAATAGTATAAAATGTCATAAATAAGATTTAAGAAATTTAGAATTTAAACTTTATATAAATTATATTCCCGCTTTATATTAAAATCATAGATAAATTAAAATATAGATTCAAGACTCATGGTTTTTCTAATGATCATTTAAAATAATATATTTAATTGTTCAATCAATTTTTTTTAAACAAAATGAAAATAATATTATATATATAAAATATGAAAATTATATTAAAATTTATATATCAAGACGTTACGTAGATATTATAAAATTTTATTATTTAATATATAAAAAATATAATTAAAATTTAAATAACATTTTGTAAATTAAATGAAAATTATCCTTATGAACAAAACTAAGCTATTGCACTGTTGGTAATATTGTAAAATTAATAAATCCTTGATTTTTTTTTATTTAATATCATGAAAAAAACAATAATATATTATTAAATCAAAAAAATCAAAAAAATATGATAAACTATAATTAAAAAATATAAATTAATGTAATATTACAAAAATAAGAAAATATTATAACATATATAATGAAATTAATAAAATTATTAATTGAAAAAAAATTATATGAGAAATTATGATATTGATATATAATAATAGAATTAAAATTTTTAAATTTCTAATTTATATCATATTTCTATAATTTATATAAAAATTAATGTATTATATATATATTATATATTATAGATTTTAATAATTTTACCGTAACTATTTAATTTTTTTATTTATTTTTTTATTTATTGTAGTATATATATATATATATATAGTATATATTTATAGTAATATATTTTATAATAATTTGTTAATATTTTATATTGATACTATTTAATCAGTTTTTTTATACGTATAATGTTTAAAATTATAATTTTAATAATATATAAAATATATTTTATATATAATATTATATATGTTAAAAATATTATTATTTTATATATTTTTAAAATAAATCAAAAAAGTTATTATTTTATTTAAATCATCTTTTCTATAAGAAATTATGTAGTTGGTCACAGTGTATATCAGTTATATATGATAAATTCAATACGATTGCACGTTTTTAATATGTTTGTATAAACATGAAAATTGTATCGTATTCTCGTATTTTATAAATAAAAGATTTTTATTATAATTTATGATTGAAAAACCTATATTTTTGAAATACAAACATGTTGATCTATGATATTTTACATAAAGAAACAGTATATCATTCAATTATTAATGATCTTCGTAATTACGGAGTTAAATATCGTTTAAAAAAAAATATGTTTAAAACAGAAAGATTCGAAGAAATTAAACATATTTCAAAAAAAATTTTTAAAATTTCTTTGTTATATCAACCATTAGATGTTGTGAATTTATCTTCTGGTGCCATTGTACATGTTCCTGTTTTTGTTAGCCAAGCATCTACATTTTTAGAAAAATATATTACTCAAGAAGGATTATTCAGAAAAGCAGGATCACAGCTTAGACAAAAAGAATTAATAATGCGTTTAGATAATGGTGGTAGTTTAGGAGAAAAACTTCATGCTGTTGATGTAGCTAATTGTTTAAAAACTTTTTTTAGAGATTTACCAGAACCATTAATTCCATATACATATCATGATTTATTTGTGCATTGTGTCATGCTCAAAACTTATTGTGTACAAGCATTGCTATTAGCTTGTATTCTTTTACCACCTCATCATTTAAATACTTTAGCATTTTTTATGGAATTTTTAAAAAAAGTATCATTATATGAAAAACAAAATAAAATGAGTATTGATAATTTAGCAAAAGTTATTGGACCAAATATTATGCCTTTACAAAAAACCACTATGTCTGCTGTACAAATGCGTCTTGAATTACATTTAATTGTTGTTAAGGTAATATATTTATTTTGAAAATGATATAGTTAATATAACATTTTTAATGTAAAATAATATTTATTTTAAATATTATTGTAGATTTTAATTGAAAATGCAGAAAGTATTGGTGTTTTACCAGATCATATAACACAAATTATTTCTATGGAAACAATTGGCAGTACAGATAATGAATTAGATATATCCGATCATTTACACTCAAAATCGAAAAAAAAAAAACATCGCAGTGGAAGTCTTACACGTAAGCCACATCTAAGTGCCTCCAACCTCAATCTAAGTATGTCTGTCGATCTGTTCACAGTAATTTAGTTCTGAATTTTATCCATATGCATTGTATTGATATTAATAATAAACATACAATGAAAATTTTATAAAATAAATATAAATATGTATTCTAACAAATGCATCATTCAATTAATTTAATTTAATTACTTGACAGATCAAAATTTTTTATAAATATAGAATTCCATAAAATTTAAATATTTTTTTGTAGGAATGTTTAATGGTTTAAAAAAGATTGTTAGTAAAAATGTTGCATCTGAAGATAGTGCACATGACAGTCAAAAGAATGTTGAAAATACTGATTCAATACATGCACCAAATATTAAATCCACAAAAAAAAGGAAAGTTGATTATTTAGATTCACCAAATACAAAAAAGAAGTATGTATTTAACTTGTTTTTTTTCTTTCCTATTATAAATATAATTAAAAAATATATATATATTTATTTATATTTATTAATTTTAAATATCAATTGTGTTTTAGAAAAATTGCAGATAAAATAGATAAATCCAAAAAGATTAGACTTAGCTTGGACCGTTTTGTACCAAAAAAGCCAGTAAGAATATTAAGATGATTAGCTTAGTTTAATTAATTTAATTTTTAGTTTAATAATTAATTTAATTTTATAATATTTAACAATATTTAATTTTCATAATACACAAAATACTTATATATTTACAGAAAGCTGTTAATGAAAATAAAGAATCATGTACAAATATTCTTAATGCTCATACAAATCGACGTTGGAGTTCTGTTTATAATTCTCATGATTCACAAAGAACTTATAGATCATATAGCGATGGTTCATCGCACTTAAAATTAATTTTAAAAGATAATGAAATATCAAATGATTTTCATAGAGAATATA